GCCATGCTCACCAAACAAAAATGCCTGGTATAACTGTACTAGCATGGTTAATTTTCCAGTTACTGAGTTCTATATGATTGTACTGCATGCTATTAGTCATTATTTTTTATTTTCTTTGTGTACATTTCAAGTAGTCTTTTTTATGGTTTTAATCAAAGAAATATAGTATGTGTAAATTAATTCCCATATTTTCAATCTTGTTTTTTTAGTGTTTCTGTTGTCTCTAATAGCCCCCATTTTGGTGTCTTACTTGGGAATAATTGCTGCTTGTGTTATTTATTTATTTCTTCATTTCACTTTGAGATATTACTTCTTTTTATTGTAATTTATTTTTTTTTTGCATATTTGCAGAGGTTTTATTTTCTTATTTTCTTTAAGTTACACAAGCTTCAGATATTTCATATATACAGATTTAGGAACAAAGTGATATTTCCCACCTTACCCTTCCTGTCTCCCTTGCTCCAACAAGTATTCTTCTTCCCTCACCTATTCCCATTCTTAATTTTTACAAAGATCTACTTCCTTTTACTTAACACTCATAAGGTTAACTCTACACTAAGAAAAGAGTTTAACAAAGGCCGGTGATGCTCTGATCAAAAGCAGGAGCCAGGAGATTCCTCCACGGCTCCCAAGTGGGTACAGGGGCCCAAGGACTTGGGCCATCTTCTACTGCCTTCCCAGGCCATAGCAGAGAGCTGGATCGGAAGAGGAGCAGCCAGGACCAGAACCAGCGCCCATATGCAATGTGGGCATTTCAGGCCGGGCTTTAACCCGCTTCGCAACAGCACCAGCCCATTTATTTGTTTTTAAAGTTAAATTAATTGTTGATTTTTAAAAAAAGAATACCAGAAAGGAGGTCAAAACATACAGATTTCTGATTGCATTTTCTTAATGTATAATTCTCCATAAGTTGGGGCTGGCATTGTAATGCAGCAGGTTAAGGCACATGCGACACCATAGTCCTGTTTAGAGTGATTATCCAAGTCCCAGCTGCTCTGTTTCTGATGCAGCTTCATGCTAATGTGCCTGGGAAACCAGTAGAAGATGGTGCCCATACTTGGGACCCTGCCATGAAGACCCAAATGGAGTTCTGTGCTCCTAGCTTCGACCTGGCATAGCACTTCTGTTGTGGTCATCTTGGAAGGGAACAAATATATGGGATATCTTTGTCTCTCCTTCTCTCTCTTTTAGTCAGTGCCTTTCAAATAAATATGTGTTTTTATGGAGTCCAAATTCATCATTATAAACTACTACCTACTGCTGCACCACAACTGTGCTGATATTCTGGTACCTACTGGAAGTATTCAAAACAAATGCTCCCACAATCCCTCTCAATGACTGTACTTTCTGTCTTGGTTTCACATTTTAGGCAGGCAAGGGGCTGTTTCAGTGAGATTACATTAGTACTGAACTTTGAAATATGGACAAGATTTTGCATGGATTCAGTCAACAAAAGACCTTTTTGATAGAAAAAGAATCAATGTAGAATGTTGACGACTTTGCCATAGAAATTAAGATTATGAGGGCAAATATTGGAGGTGAATTTGGTAGTTCAGATAGTAAGGAACTTGGCAGGAAGATGAAGGGCAATTATGAACCATTTGTGTATATCAAGAATGTCAGTACAGTAACAGCATTTGGTTAAAAATGGCTATTTTTTCAGTAAGGTCCTATACAACAGAGTTTTCTCCCATGAGAAAGCAGTCACAGTGATCATACTGAGTATTTATTTTTTTCCTACCAAACTTATTTACTATCCCCAGGCTATTGCTTCTCATGACACCACAATTCCTTGTCCTGTAAACAGAGTAGAAGGGACCTGTGAGACTTGGAAATCTTTCAGAATTATAAAATAAGTTGTATGATGAAATAAAGGATGCCCAGGGGAATAATCTACATACCAACATAATACTATTAAAAAGTAGACTTTCATTCATTTCTACTGTTACGTGAAATAATATGGGCAAACATACCAGTAAGTCTCTGTCATGTGTCAAGATTTTAAAAGCATTTTTGTGGATATCACATTGAAGCAAAGATCTGAATGCAGAAGACTTCCAGTATCTAAAGCAGAGGTTTCAAGACAATTATCTTCTTGGCCCCAGGACTCCAATTAAAACCTTGATGGGTTTGAACTCTACCTTTAAGGAATGGAGAAGACAGGACCTGCTATGAGACTCTCATTTCAGAGGGAACTCCTCAGACATTAAAAAGGAGAACACTGTCTTAAAACTTAATCCTGGATTACAAGGAGGGGGAAATCACAAGACGAACTGCAAAAAGCCACTCCTGAGTTCTAGGACTGTAAATTCATCCTATAGTTTAATTACCCCATAATTTTAAGAGATTGAAAGGTGGTTCTCCTTCTCCTATTTATTTATGTGTCTGTCTATAATTTATTTATTTATTTTTATTTAGCAAAGTTAGAGGCAGACAGAAGGAGACAGTGCTCCCACCCACTAGCTCAGAGAGAAAAGATACTAATGGAGAGGCTTCACTCCCAAATGCCTGTAATGTCCAGAATTTGGCCAGAGCCAAAGCAGAACTTGGCAAGGTAATCAAGGTCCCCCACATGGGTGGTGGGAACCCAATACTTGACCCATCACAGCTGCCTGCCAGCATCTGCATTAGCAGAAGTTTGAGTGAGGATCCAGAGTCAGGAAACACTAATGGGAAAGCAAGTGTAAATGTCTGCCTTCCTCCTTGTTTTAAAGGTGGAAACATTCGAGGTTTTTTTCAACTTTAAAATGAACACTCTCTATCTTCTGATAATCAAGTACCTGTGAATTCTTATAGCTTGTTAGAAGTTACTGAAGAAACTGGACGTAGGTAAGCTGGAAATTAAGAATGTTGTCAATGTCTTATGGTTGGGAGGGAGGGAAGCCCAAGAACTACATGAGTAAGATCGGAGGGCAGAGATGAGGATGGCAAACTCAAAGAAGAAGCCAGGATTAAAAAGAGGATAAGGCTTGAGCCAAAAAATCAGATGGGTAGCCACAATGTTATAGGCATCTTGTTCTCTGGTAGCTGCCAGATTTGTTGGAAAGAATAGAAATAATGTTCTGATATTTTTTCTTTAGTTACTGTACTTGAATGACATAAGAAAGCAGAGTTTACTATCAACATGTATGAAAACATTATAAAAATCAAGTTCTTAAACAAAATCACTAATGAAGATTATGTAAACTCTACATATCAGGTATCCTGCAGATTTCTCTCCCTGGAGAGACTTGCCAGAGTTCGAGGTTTCTGTAGATGGATATAAATTGTTTAGGTTAACACTCTCCTGACAATTCTGATGTGCCCCTTAATAGAGACCATTTATATAGAGGAAGTATGATTTGATACTACAAAAAATATGGAGTGTCTAAATACAAAAGTGTTAGTTTTTATGCCCCCAGGCTGTAAGTTACCACTACTGGAGTTTTGATAACTTCTGTTACCTTTTTTGTTTATTTGTTTTCTATTTGTATATTTGATAAGCACAAATGAGGAAAGCACCTATGCCTTCATTCACATCGCTAAGCAACATCATTCTTAAAATCTATCTAGACAATAGCTAACCATCTTTGGTGCACGTGGAAGTAAAATAAAAGCAAAATAGATCAACGAACATTTTGGAGAGGAGTTAGTAAATGAACTTAGGTTATAATTGTAGAAGGCTTTCTTGAGAGCTTAAGATTCTTTTTTCCTATAACCATTTCACTAATCTAGTAAAAATCTATTTTTATTAGGTTAGGCCATAAGATCTTGAACAACATCTTAAAACAAGTCTTTGCCCTGTCTCGTATAGGATTCAAGCTTGTTTAAAACAGCAACAGTAGATTACTTTAAAATTTATTGTGCATAGATGTAAAGGTCATTTTGCATTCAGTTATTGTTTATAGCCATTATCCACCCATATTCCCACTAAATAGGGTCTTTGCTATTACTTATTAACTTCTTATTTGGTGAGATATTAAGCCTTTTTCTGTAATGTAAATTTAAATTATAGTATCTCAAAAACAAAAGAGAGGCCAGCGCCGCGGCTCAATAGGCTAATCCTCCACCTGCAGCGCCAGCACACGGGGTTCTAGTCCTGGTCAGGGCGCCGGATTCTGTCCCACTTGCTCCTCTTCCAGTCCAGCTCTCTGCTGTGGCCCAGCAGTGCAGTGGAGGATGGCTCAAGTCCTTGGGCCCTGTGCCCGCATGGGAGACCAGGAGAAGCACCTGGCTCCTGGCTTCTGATCAGCGCTGTGCGCTGGCTACAGTGCACTGGCCGCAGCGGCCACTGGGGGGTGAACCAACAGTGAAGGAAGACCTTTCTCTCTGTCTCTCTCTCACTGTTCACTCTGGCTCTCAAAAAAAAAAAAAAAAAAAAAGAGAGAGAAAAGAAGAAGAAAAGAAAGGAGGGACGGGGGATGGAAAAAGAGGAAAGGAGGGAGAGAAGGGTAGAAATGGAGGAAGGAGGGAATATCATTATATTCTTAGAATTATATCTACGAACTATATAGATGGTCAAAATTAGTCAAAAATATAAAAATCTGTTAAAATAAAACAGAAACAATGAAAAACTGATGTGAATCTGGGAGAAGAAATAGCTCACACAACCAGGAGGCTTCTTGTCTTGTTTCTCTCTCTCTCTCTCTCTCTCTCTCTCATTCTGACTTTCAAATAAATTTATAATCTTTAAAGAAAAAACCATAGATAAGAGGGAGAATGACAATTTTATTAATATTTTCGCTCTTCCTTGCAGATCCTGATCGGAGTAGATTCAAGGATTCACCCTATTGCATTTCTACAGAATCTCACAGAATCATTCTGCTCCTCATTCAGGCTCCTGACCTTGACTTCTGCCAGGTGCATTTTCTCCCTTTCCTGAGGCTCCTTCACTAAGAATTGCCCTACACTTGTCCTGGGACCCTGTCCAGGTGACATCAAAGCAGGCTTTTTACAGTTATTTCAGTCTTGCCCTTAAGCACCTGTGCACCTGTGGGAACAGGCCCATGGGCACTGGGAGGATGCACAATCACAGCACAGTGAGCACATTCATTCTGTGGGGATTTTCCAGTTTCCCAGACCTGCAGAGGCTACTTTTTGTGGTGATTTTCTTCTCCCATGTGACCATCCTGGCTGCAAATGTGTCCATCATGTTGGCCATCAAGCTCAGTCACAGCCTTCACACCCCCATGTACTTTTTCCTCTTTGGCCTCTCTCTCTCAGAAACTTGCACCACTATGGTGATCATCCCCCGCGTGTTAGTAGATCTGCTATCAGAGAGCAAGACCATATCTCTTCCTGAGTGTGCCACACAGATGTTTTTCTTCTTTACCTTGGCGGGCAATAACTGCTTCATCTTGGCTGCTATGTCCTATGACCGTTACACAGCCATCCACAGTCCACTGTATTATCCCATCCTGATGACTCATAAGGTGTGTTTTCTACTCATGATGGCCTCTTGTATTGTTGGGATCCTAATTTCTGTGAGCTTCACCACCATTGTATTCAGCTTGTCCTACTGTGATTCCAACATTGTCCAGCATTTCTTCTGTGACATTGCACCTGTGGTTCACCTTGCTTGTGATTACACTTCCTATCATGAAATAGCTATATTTGTGCTCTCTGCCTTTGTATTGTTAGGCAGTTTTGTTTTAATTATGGTTTCCTATGTCTTCATAATTACTGTAATTATGAAGATGCCCTCTACAGAAGGAAGGTATAAGGCCTTCTCGACCTATTCCTCCCACTTCACTGTGGTGTCCATACACTATGGATTTGCTTGCTTTGGCTATCTGAAGCACAAAGGCAGTGACACATTCCGTGAAGACATGCTGATGGCTGTGACATACACGATGCTAACACCACTGCTTAATCCTGTTGTTTATACCCTTAGAAACAAAGAAATGCGAACAGCCCTAAGGAAAGTTCTAGCCAATGGCAATAGATTTTTCCTTCAGGTGGCAAATAAAAGAGATCAGAATATTTAAAAATGTCTAGTTTGATAGATAAAGTAGTAAAGTAGAATACTTCTAGTAAAAAAAATTACCTTTTCTACAAAACATTTAAAGTATTATCTAAATTACCTGATATATTGCCATTTTTCTACTAGATATAATTTTTTTTTTTTTTTGACAGGCAGAGTGGACAGTGAGAGAGAGAGACAGAGAGAAAAGTCTTCCTTTGCCGTTGGTTCACCCTCCAATGGCGCCGCGGCCAGCGCCGCTGTGGCCGGCGCACCGCGCTGATCCGATGGCAGGAGCCAGGAGCCAGGTGCTTTTCCTGGTCTCCCATGGGGTGCAGGGCCCAAGCACTTGGGCCATCCTCCACTGCACTCCCGGGCCACAGCAGAGGGCTGGCCTGGAAGAGGGGCAACCAGGACAGAATCTGGCGCCCCGACCGGGACTAGAACCCGGTGTGCCGGCGCCGCTAGGCGGAGGATTAGCCTAGTGAGCCGCGGCGCCGGCCTACTAGATATAATTTTAAGTATTTTTGTTAAATAAACATACATATACTTTCCAAATGCATCAAACATATTTTGAAATAATAATTGCATAAATGTAGCGGCCTGTAGAGAAGGAAGAGAATTATGCTAACAAGATAAAGAGAGAGGCAAGATGAGCAGGTAGATGGGGAAAAGGAAGTTAGGTAAAGAAAGAAAATTAGTTTACTTTATCAAAAGTTAGGCTGAAAGTTAGAATTAAGAACAAGGAGGTGAACACAATACAAAGAAAATTGAAAGCAATTTAAGAAGCTACTTTGTTCATTGTTTATTTAAACAAACGTAGAAATTAGGCAAAAGGGATGGTTTGGGGGAAAAAACAAACAAATTTGTTTATCCTGACTTGAACATTACACCATGTATATATGTATCAATATATCATGTAGTATACCAGATGTATAATTTTTTCAACATTAAATGATAATTTATTTTTTATGTTTAAAAAGTTTCAAAATATGTATATACAAGAGAAAAAATTCAGAGAATCACTGTAGAGCAGAATACATAAACATACAGGGTCTTTTATAGGATATAAAAACTATGTCACTAAATTAAAAAAAAATCGAGATGTAGGCAAACTAGAACTTGTCAACAAAGAATATATTAACTATAACTAAGATGGACTAGGACAAACCTGCTAAACCACAAAGTGAAATGTCTTTTCTGTGTTTCCTACAAGCATGGTTTCCCTTTTCTGTGTTGAATTGTGTACATCAGAATCATCAACCTCTGGTAGATTATCGAGCACCTCTTCAGTTTTCTGTTTTTGTCCACATGCTGGCTTTCTAAAGGAATATTGGCTTATTTAAATTTTGAGGAAATGTCAGCCTTTAGCAAGTCATCAGGGTTAGGTTCTGACATGAGCAGCTGAATAGAGGTCAATACAGTTGCAATGTTAAGGGATGGTTTCCAGACACATTTTGGTGGCAATTTGAAAACATCTAAACAAATTCTGGGAGCAGAATCAATGTTTGGATGATAGATTGGAGTAAGAAATTAGATCTGAGGAGGATTAAATGGGTACCTCTCAGGAATAATGACTTCCTGCTTGAAAACACACTTCTCATAAGGTGTGTTAGATCCACTTAGTATTCCTAGGAGCAAACAGAGCTCACACATCATCTTTTTCTTGCCAGCACATGATGCCTGGGGGTGGTTCTGTGGCTAACGTGTGCAACTCTCTGTTCAGATATGAAGTTCTCTGTGTGATCCCCAAACAAAAGTAAAACCACACACTAAGAGCTGACTGTAGTGCACTCAGTGTGTCAGCACACAACATGTGCACAACACACTTCATTTGTATAATTTTTATATCAGGTAAAATAATTTTCATAAACATTTAAAATAATTTCAAAAATTGTTTAGATCTATAGAATATAGCATATTGTCTTGTAATACATACACATTGTGGAATGACTAGGTAGAGATATTTAACATGCCACATTTTCTGCTGTACTTATTTTTGTGATGAGAAATCTTAATGTCTACTATCTGAACAGTTTTTGAGGAATGCTACACATCATTAGCTATCATCATCATGTTGTACAATAGACCACTTTAAGCATTTTTTCTATATATTGAATTTTTTTTTGAGAGGCAGAGTGGATAGTGAGAGAGAGAAAGACAGAGAGAAAGGTCTTCCTTTTTGCCGTTGGTTCACCCTCAAATGGCCGCCACAGCTGGCGAGCTGCGGCCGGCGCATTGCGCTGATCGGAAGGCAGGAGCCAGGTGCTTTCTCCTGGTCTCCCATAGGGTGCAGGGCCCAAGCACTTGGGCCATCCTCCTGAACTCCCTGGCCACAGCAGAGAGCTGGCCTGGAAGAGGAGCAACCGGGACAGAATCTGGCACCCTGACCGGGACTAGAACCTGGTGTGCCAGTGCCGCAAGGCAGAGGATTAGCCTATTGAGCCGCGGTGCCGGCTTATATATTGAATTTTTTTAAGTTTTCTTTTGTTCTTTCTGTAACTTAGAATTAAATATACCTTTGAAGTAAAATTTTTTTGATTAACAGTAATTTATGTGTGTGTAGTAGTACAGTGTGACATTTCAATTTATTAGATAGTATATACTGATCAAATCAAGTTAATTAACATTTCCGCCACTTTGTTACTACTTTATGATTGGTGCTGTGGAAATCATCTCTGCCTTTGCTCAGAAAATATGTAATAGATTATTCTAAACTACAGACACTGCACTATGCTATGTAACACTAGGTTCTTACCTGTCTGATTTTGCTATATTACCTGTTGTCCAACTTCCAAGTTTCCCCTATGCCTCCCAGCCTCCAGCAATTACTATTCTATGTTTAGAATCATATTGTTTTTAGCTTCCACATACAAGGGAGAACATGTAGTATTTGTCTTTCTGTGTCCGGCTTATTTAACTTAACATAATGTCCCATCCATTTTGTCATGTGTCTGTTGCTCATTTATTTGTATGTATTTGTATTTTCACCATTTTAAAACTGCCTGTTCATATCATTTTCCCATTTCTTAAATGGATTGTATTTGTTGAGTTTCATGAGCTTGTTACATATTCTGGATGTTAATTTTTTATTGGGAAAATAATTTGCAACTATTTGCTCCCACTCTGTTGATTCCTCTTCACATGGTTAATGGTTCCCTTTGCTGTGCAAAAGCTTCTTTGCTTGTTGTAATCCCATTTGTCTACTTTATTTTTACTGACTTTGTATTGGCAAGATCTTCCATCTGCTTGTTCGCTTCGCAGTTGGACACAATTCCCAGAGCTGGGCTGATCCCAAGCCAAGAGCCAGGAGTGTCTTCCAGGTCTCCCACGTGGGCACAGGCCCCGAACATTTGGATGATCTTCTACTGCACTCCCAGACCATAAGCAGAGAGCTGGATTGGAAGAGAGAGGAGCAGCCGGGATACAAACCAGTGCCCATTTTGGATCTGGCACCACAGGTGGAGGCTCAACCTACATCACCATAGCACTGGCCCCATAGTAGCCTCTATTGTTTTTAAGATTTATTTATTGGTTTGAAAGGCAGAGTTACAGAGAGGCAGAGGCAGAGGTAGAGAGAGAGAGAGAAGAGAGAGAAAGAGAAAGAGAAATGAAGAGAAGATCTTCCATCCATTGGTTCATCCCCAGAATGGCCACAGTGGCCTGAGCTTCGCCAATCCAAATAAGTAGCCAGGAGCTTATTCTGGGTCTCCCACATGGGAGCAGGGGCCCAAGCATTTGGGCCATCTTCTACTGCTTTCACAAGCCATGAAGTGAAGCAGCCGGGTCTTCAACCTGCGCCCATATGGGATGACAGCACTGCAGATGACAGCTTTACCCACTATGCCACAGTGCCAGCCACACCATAATAGTCTAATGGAGTCTTTTGATTCCCCTAAATAACGAATCATGTCAGGTCCAGCATTGTGCCATAACAGGTAAAGTCACTAACTGCAATGCCACCATCCCATATGCGTGCTGGTTCACATCCTGGCTTCTCCATTTCTGATCCAGCTCCTTGTTAATTGCCTGGTAAAACCAGTGGAAGATTGTATTTGGACCCCTTCCATCCACGTGGGAGACCTGGATGAAGTTCCTAGCTCCTGATTTAGGCCTGGTTCAGTCCTTGCAGTTGCAACCATTCTGAGTAAACCAGCAGATGCAAGATTTCTCCCTGACTCTCTGTCCCTCAACTTTGATTTTCAAATATATAAATAACACTTTTAAGTTGTTTTTAATGTTTATTTGGTTTTTAACAGATTCAGTATGGTTTGAAGACACAATTCTAAGAACATAGTGATATTTCCTTCCTCCTTCCCTTCCTCCCTCCCCCTTCTTTCTCCCACCCTCATTTTTTCTACCTTTCTGAATTTTCTTAGTTTTTGAGACAACATATTTTCAATACACATTACAGTAAAAAGGTTTAATGCTTCACCAAGTAAGAAGTTTAGCAAGTAGAATTGGAAAAATATCCTAGTTTTGTGGGAATATAGACAATAGCTATAAACAATAATTGAGTGGAAGATGACAGCTTCACCCATATACAGTAAATTTTAAAGTAGTCACAGATCATGAAAACTATAGTAGTGTAACATTCTTAACTGTTGATTTAACAAAAGTATAAAGCAAAGTTTCACAGAACTATATTTTTAGCAATACTGATATACACAGGCATTATTTTCCTTTTTTTCACTTTTTTTTAAATTTTAGCTCCCACATATAAGGGAGAATATGAGGTATTTGTTTTTCTATGTCCAGCTTATGTCATTCAACATGATGTCCTCCAGTTTCATCCATTTTACTGCAAATGGTAGAAATTCATTGTTATTATAGCTAAATGATATTCCATTGTGTAAATATACCACATTTTCTTTAGCACTTTGTCAGGTTTTTTTAGAAAACTTTTATTTAATAAATATAAATTTCAAAAGTACAACTTTTGGATTATTGCAGTTCTTCCCCCCATAACCACCCTCCCACCCACAAACCATCCCATCTCCTACTCCCTCTCCTATCCCATTCTTC